CGCGGGGCGGGCGCCGCACTCGGCGGGAAAACGGCCCTGGAAGTGTTCCTCGGCCCGAGAACCTACAGGCGAGCGGGCCGCTGAACCTTCGGTCTGGAATCGGACGTCCGGGGCTCTGACACCCGATCCCACCAGACCTTGCCGAGCTGCGCTGGCCGGTTAGGACCGTGACCTCTCTCCCTGCCCAGCTTCCTTCCCTTAGGGATTTCCACGTTTTCTAATTTTATCCTGCCCCGCACTTTAGGGAGCTCTTGCTTCCCGCGCTATTTCAGGGACCAGGATAACCGTTAGGCCTTGTCCCAGCCCTTCCGCGGGCTCCTCCTCTGTAGCCTATTTGGAGCTGGAGACGTGAGGCGGAATCCGGGCCTCTGCAATTCCCCAAAGGTCGCCCCGCCGAAGGGTCGGTGGAAGTACTTCCGCAGCGGAAGTCAGAGGCTGCGGGGCTTTGGAATCCGACGTGGAAGAGTCAGGTGCAGGAGTCAAGCCTGTAGGGGACCCTTGTCCTACCCTAGGGATTCAGAGGCCAGGGCCACACAGGAGAGGCGGTTCTACTGGGTCCAACGGGTCCAAATCCCCTGTGGCACTCCGTGGACCTCCGAACACTTCGGTTTCTGAAATAATGCCTTTTAAAATTGGTTGAAGAAAGAGAAGCCTTGGAGCACAACAATGCCTCTTTATAAGTTAAAAAAAGAATCTGTGGATTATTTTATCGTTATATTAATTATTATTATTCTTTTATTTTGGTACCAGGGATCATACTCAGGCCCTTGCGCTTGCGAGGCAGGTGGTGAAACCACTGACCCAAATCCCGGGCCCTTGTGGATTATTTTAGAAAATTAGTGTCCGGTGTAAGAAAATAGACTTTTCCTGAGCATCTCAGAAACAACTACAAACAGCGCCATCCTTCCCTTTATTACTAATTTCAAAAAGAAAAACTCTGGTTAGATGAGGTGGGGGAAGACTGATTCATAAGTATCTGTAAGAGCATGTTTCATTTAAAATTACAGAAACATGCTAGGATAATAGCCATTCCTAAATAATTTCAGGAGTGTTTATCGGTACAGAGCGCAGTTTCTTGAATAGTATATAAAGCCTCAGAGGAGAAAAATCATAAAATCAAATATAAAGTAGATACTCAATGTGATAGGAGACTAAGGGTAATTCTGTGGCTATTTTAACCCATGGAATTTCTTATGTCTTTAAAGTCATGCAAAATCATTGTACCTATAATGTACCTGAAGATTGGAAGAAGTACCTTAATTTTCATCTTCACCTCTGTGTATTACAGAGAAGAAAGATGCATTCCCAAATTCTGAAATGTTAATCTTTATTACACCCAGTAATACTGTTCCCACCAGCTTTGATTTGCCCTCTCTTGGTCTCCTGCCAGCTTTCTTCCTAAGGGATTCCTAATCATTCTGTTGGCAGCCTAAGAACCTGGTTTTAATTTGGTTTGTTCTTTGATAATATAATTAGAAAAACCTATGAGTTCAAAGCCATTTCATGAGAGTTTCTGACATTTTAAAGCGGCATCAAGGGTCTCAATGACTGGTCCCCGGAAGAAACCCTCAGAATACTGCCAACATCCAGTTCTCTACCTATGCAGCCAGTGCTGCCTAGTGAGGGATTTCCCAGACACAGCCAGGCAGTGCCTTGGAATGCCATCCTGGCTGCCTGGGGCTTATTGAAACTGGAAGTCTGTTAATTAGATTGCAGCAGGCACCCTCTTGAACACTACTGAAACTTAAGAGACTGCAATATCTCAAATGCCCACAGATAATGGTGATCCATGATCTTTACTTGATTTTGTTATCTTATTTTATGTTTGCATCTACAAAAAGATGTGCACCTTTTAATTTCACTGAAGGATGTCTCATGGAAAAAAAATCAGAAAAACTGGCATTCACTTTTTCAGGAAACAGTTTGAATTTTTAAGAGTAACAGGACCAGTTTTGTTCATTAATATTGTGGTTATTTTTATATGGTTTTCTGAATCTCAATATTTTCTCTGACTAAAGATAAATGATAAGGTTCACATTTGCTTCATGTTTTCAGGACAGAACCTAGCTTAGAACCAACCACTTGTAGGAGTTTAATAGTTTACAACACTTTCTGTGCATATTTGCTTCCTGCAAGTTCTGTCTATTCACTAGTGTTTAAATGCTCTGAGAATTTGTGTTCTTACTGCCCACCTTTACGCTGTTATAAAGTTAAGTCTAACACTAAATTAGCTTAAGATTGCTTGATATGTGAAATATGCATATATATGTGCAACTTATATTTTATATCTACATATCTATATCTAGAGAGAGAGTGACAAGAGAGGGAGCGCCCACCTGTTACAGATTCGGGCCCAGTAACTTCCCAAAGACACTTAGAAAGCCTTAACTTCAGCATCTGTAGTTCCTGGATTGCCTATGTGGCTTCGAAATAGACAAGAGCTGGGAATTTACTGCTCTCAACTCCAAGTTTGAAAGGCCTTTCCTTCTAAAGTGTTTAGTAGAAACATGTTCTCCAACCAGGCTGCTTGGAAGAAGTCACTCCTCTTAAAGGTTTTCTATTACTGCTTAAATAAGAGTTATAAGCATGTGGACAAAGTAAGAATGTTTAGGCTTATGCTCGGTTTACTCAGTTCTTTGTGAATGCTACATACTTCTTGCTCATAAACTTTGCATAGCAGAAAGGCCTTTATAGGCAAGAGTAAAGCTGGGAGAGATTATAGAGCTCATCAAAAGCTATTCAGTATTTATTATCAGAAAAAAATAAAAACTGAATTCTAGCCTCTTAGTCAAATCCAAGGGTTCTATTATAAAGAGTCAATGTAGTGTGTTAGTCTGGGAGGTGGCCTTGTAATCCAGCTGCCCAAGTTGAAAGCCCCAGTTTTAAAACTTAGCTATTGAAGCATAGACCAGTTATTTTTGCTTCAGTTTTCTCATCTGTAAAATGAAAATAAAATATCTTTTCAGGGGAGCTGACATGAGGATGGATTAAAATGGCAAATACATGGATTAGAACACTACGTGGCACATACGTAATGAGTATCCAGTCAGCATTAGTCATCATTATACAACGTTGCCTTCTAAAGAGTAGTTTTCTACAAACTTTGCAAAGTTTACAAACATCTAAGAATATATGATATAGTAAAATGTATTACCCAATAACATCAGTATTTTACAAATTTGCTTCAAAAAACATGATGGTCCATTGAGTTTCACAGGTTTAATATTGTAGGAGCCAGGAGAAGGCAAGAAGAGGTAAACAGGCTGGGCTATAAACCCTGGGAAATGATAGAATCACTGTCTAAAGTTAACTCATTGGAACTCAACATCTTACAAAAGCAGTAAAGAACAAAATAAACTCATTGGGAGGGGAGGTAGTTATTCAACATTTTTTAAAAAAGTGTTCTGTGTATTTGAGTTAGTTGGCTTTCTTCTATGTCCACACCTACTTGTCCATTCTGATGCTTCATTAAAACACTTAATGTTAAGATGCTTATTCTCATTCTCTTTGCTCTGCAAAGATTAGACCCAAGGACCCTTAAATCAAAATGTCATACTACATAGATATCAAACATAGTTATTAACATGCTTATGCCGGAATAATTATGAATGAATTTGTACTTTTTTCTGATATTCTCACTACTCCAGGTTGTGAAACAGCCATTTTATTCCCAATGCGTTCCAAGAAGATTTTTGGAAGTGTGCATCCAGTGAGGCAAATGAAGCTTGAGTCTTTTAGTGCCTGTATTTGGGTCAAAGCCACGGATGTATTAAACAAAACTATCCTGTTCTCCTATGGCACAAAGAAGAATCCATATGAGATCCAGTTATACCTCAGCTACCAGTCCATAGTGTTTGTGGTGGGTGGAGAGGAGCACACACTGGTTGCGGATACTGTGATTTCCCTGGGAAAGTGGACCCATCTGTGCAGTACCTGGAATTCAGAGGAAGGGAGCGCATCCCTGTGGGAAAATAGTGAACTGGTGGCTACCACAGTAGACGTGGCCACAAAGCATGTTGTTCCCGAGGGAGGAATCCTGCAGCTTGGCCAAGAAAAGAATGGCTGCTGTGTGGGTGGGGGCTTTGATGAGACATTAGCCTTTTCTGGAAGACTCACCGGCTTCAATATCTGGGACCGTGTCCTCAGCGAGGAAGAGATAAGAGAGACTGGAGGAGCAGAGTCTTGTCAGATCCGGGGAAATGTTGTTGGGTGGGGAGTTACTGAGATTCAGCCACACGGAGGAGCTCAGTATGTTTCCTAAGTGCTGTGAAACTCTACTTGAAGCCAAAGAAAGAAACTCGCATTCTAAATATATGCCAGTGGGGAAAGTCTGAAAACCTCAGTGCATAATAAGAACACTGTGACTAATGAAGGAGAGAGTTGAGATTGGTCTTTATTTATCTTGGCGAAATGATAAATAAATAGTCGAAGGTAGGACATTGGAGAAAGCTTTTGGGGATATTGTTACTAGACTTTATGCCGTAGTGCTTTCAGATTAATGCAGTGTTTCTGTCAGATAAACTTTCAAATAATTAAAAAAGACTGTATTCTTGAACAGAAGGACAATTGTTTTACTTTTCTTTGGTTAATTTTGTTTTGGCCAGAGATGACTTTTACATTGGAAGAATCACAAAACAAGATTTGTTGTCCACTGTTTGTTCTTGTTGGTATGTACCTTATTATAAAAAATGATGGAAAGGTATTTATACTATAGAGTGACTTACAAACCTATGTGTAGTTTATGTGCTATGATCAAAAGTCACATTTTTGAGAAGATAGCTGTATAAGTTATATTGTAAAATGGGGTTGTATTAATTTTATTTTTGTAAAGCTCTACTGTAAATAAAATATTTTATAAAACTAGCTTGTGTCACCTAATTGTAAATTTAGGAGATGTTTTAAAGCAAATCCACATTTTTCCTTTTGAACCTAAAGTAGGCTATTCATTTTCAGAGACTAATCTATTATGTAAATACATATAGTTAATGTTATAAACAAACAAACAAATATAGGGCCGTCATTAGCTCTGGCCTCCTGTAAATCATGAGTGAGAAATAAAAGCTTGCCTGAGTTCTCCCTGAGTTTTAGTTTTCTCAATTGAGAAATCAAGGAATTGAGGAAATAATGATTTCTAGGTCTCTTCTAACTTGATGATTCCAATAGCTTATATAACTTTTCTGTACTGTTGTAGCATCAAACAAACAAATATGTGTTATGTGAGTTTCCCAGATACATGTGATATCCTCAAGCAAAGACTGAGGATTGTTGCTTGGAAGATCTAAGAGTTTGGAAAAGAACAGTAACTTCTGCCCTCATAGTGCAGCCATCGTCCTCCAGAGGAAGGTGACCATCAAGCCCTGTCACACACAGATGTGTCCTAAAGATAGGCCATTTCCTGCTCATGAGGTTTGGTGACTAGAGCCAGGGGAATGTTGCAACTAGCTAGCTGAGTGTCCTTAGGTAAATCACCTAACTTGGGGATCTCCTCAGTCAAATAAGGAGGTTGGGCACTTACTATCGTTCCACAATAAAACGCCATGAATCTAATAATTCTAAAAGATGCTCAGACTATCATTACAATTTCATCTCATAAAGTGAGGGTGTTGAGGCTCTAAGAAAATTACTTGCAGCTATGAGCTTACAAACCAGTTTCAGACTTTTGGAAATTATATAATTCAGGACCACCGGTACACTGGTCATATGCAGACTCCCTGTATGGCTTGGCTCTCAGATGGACGATGAGATACTAACCCCAAATTTAGGCAGAGTTAGGCATACTTCTAATTCTTTGACATGCTTCAGTATGAGTCAGATCTATGTAAGAGACCCCAGATGGTACTGGCCAAGATAAATGTAAATTCATATGCTGACAAAATTAAACATAAGGGAATGACTTTTTAAAATAATAAAATAGTAATTGTGTGTTGAGAGAAAAGAAGAAACAAATAGAAGAAAGCAGAAATTCAATCTGCTACAGCAGTAGGTCTGGATAGTGTACCAAGAATTTGTGATTTGGAGCCATTCTACATAATTTCTTTCTTTCTTTTTTTTTTTGAGACAGTCTCACTATGTAGTTGGGACTGACCTGGAACTTGCTATGTAGCCCAGGCTGGTCTCAAATTCACAGCAATCCTCCTGCCTCAGCCTCCCGAGTACTGGGATTACAGGCATGCGCCACCACACCTGGCCTTACATAATTTCTTTTGAAAATATTTTCACATTTAGAGTATGACCATAGCTGTCTAAGGCCCAGTGTCACCTTGCCTGTGAGCCAGCTCTGCCGTGAAGAAACAATTCCATTTTGCCTCTGGTCACAAGTTGAGGCCTCAGTGGTCCCCTGATACTATAACACGCAAGGGCAGGAGTATATTAACTGAAGCCATCCTGGTTCTTTGAGAACTGAGTAGTAATAAAAGAAAAGAAAGGTTTCACTGGGGGAGGGACAACTTCTTTATAATCCGGCTACCTTGTTCCACCTACTACTGTAAGAATGCTCTCCTTTCCACCTGCATGCACATAACAGCCTCATCAACACAGGATTACAGCAGCAGCCTAAGTCACCGGATGCTCCCTCCAGTTACATAAATAATGGCCAGCTTGGAGGGTCTTTGTCTTTGCCTGCTCTGAGACACTGACCTCCCAGGCCACCCATGTACTTTGAAATTATGCAAGTCTGTTGTCTTTCTTTCTTTAGCCCTCACTGTCCCCTTTTCTAGGTTCCCTAAGACCTATTTTCCTTCTTTTCCTAAGTAACAGAGCTCTAGTTTTAGTGGCACATATGGCCACTCTAAATAAAATCTATGATTTTCAGCACTACTTATAGATGTGGCCATATGACTAAGTTGAAATATTGTATGTGATTTTCATTCTTCCTTTGTCTAATTGGAATTTCATAAAGGATGGCTGGGATTTCAACAAACACTTTGAACATGATATTTCATAAGATAACATTATAGAAGCTTGGGTTTCTGATGATTGTGAAACTGCCTAACATGGCCTTAGCCACCTAGCCTTGGATTTCTTTTACATGAGAGAAAATATAGTTCTATTTTCTTTAACCCATTATTACCTGATCATCTAATTTAATCTTTACCTAATGGAGTAATTTTTTTGATGGTGGCAGGGATCAAACCCAAGGTCTTAAGCATGCTAGGCAAGCAGCACTCTACCCTTCTAGTGATTTTTTTTAAATTAAAAAGACCATGCACTTTACTCTTTCCAAAACATTCATGGGCTATGCTCAGAAAATACATTTTACAAGTTCTCAAGAAGTTGGATATCTGACTTTTTCCTTACTACTAGCATTTACTGCATTTTAGAATATATAGCAAAAGGCAGAAGTAACAAATACATAAAAAAGATAAAAATGTCAAAAAACATCAGCATGCTAGCTTAGTTTAGCATACTGACACACAGTTCCATTCACCAGAGTGTTATTGAGGGCACCACCTCAATACGGCATAGTAAACTACTTTTAGAAGATGACCAGTTTATGAAAAGGAAAATGTGTGTAATGAATATGAAATACACCATATATATAT